ACCGTACATGTGTGGATTAGCCACCATATGCAGCTTAGCCAACACATATAGCTCATCCTACACATTTATTTAATCGAACCCACACGTGTAGTTAAATCAACACAAACATTAAGCTCAAATCCCACGTTTGGCTCAGTCATACGTGTAGTTCAACCTAGCTAAACAAACTAATATAGCTCAAATAACACATGCAACCCGATCCACTCTTGTAGCTAAGCAAATCTTTATATTATTTTGACAAATTATTTCGCATTCAACAGTTCTTTTTCAGGTAATAAGTATCTAACAGGTCTAAAACAGTTATTTTAGGGGAGTGGTGCCCTAGTGGTTAAAGTGTCTGCCTCTCAACCCGGGGATCATGGGTTCGAGCCCTACTCGAGTCACGACATGTTTCTTCATATGGCTCCAGTACTGGTTGTTTCCAGGAAGCGGAATCGAGACTGATTAATATAAGTTGCAATAACTTGTTTCGCAATCGAGCTTAAATAGATATGTTTAAACCAAACATTTATTTAAATGTTATAAAATTCATGTTTGTCATTTAAAAAGAAAAACATAAATCGTGTATGAGGGATAATAGGGCTTTAATCTTCTCCTTTAAATACTGAATCATGCAACATCAACTGATAAATTCTTATTTTTGACATTTCGAAGAAGAAATATTTGAATTTGACAATGCACATTTTCTGTTTTTACGCAACTCAATACAGTAAAAAAATTAAAAGTTCCTCCGACACGGCCAAATTTAAAATGTTCATGGACGCAAGTTTTTGTTTAGAACCCCATAACACCGCTTCAAGAAAACTGCACCATTAAGATATGTTATTTATTCCTTTCTTTCTGAAGTAATTTCCCAAACCTTCAAAATACAAAATATTAACTTTCAACATTATAACGCACTGACACTTTTTATCTAATATTTACCAACTACTTACTTATTACTATTATTCTAAATTCTATTTTTCTCGAAAAAAATTACATGTTAAATATAACGCCATTATACCTGGCCCCGTGTTCACAAAGGATCATTGATTAAATATGTATAATTAATATCAACTTGATAAAACTGGACTCGAAATAGCATGTTTATGAAATTTTAAAATAAATTTATTGTTATTATTTTTGAAAGTTACCGACGCTTTAAAGTTCATCCTAATATTGATCATGATCCTGAAATTGATCCATATTTCGATCCTGTCATTTTTGTATTTGTTTTGTTATTCGTAGATTTGAATCTAAAATAGGTTTTTTTTTTCGAATCAGCAATTTTTTACATTTTGAATATGTACCAAAAAACGATAATTTTAGTTGTTATAAAACAATGAAAATAAAATCAGGATCATTTGATCCTGATCTTTTCTTTGTGAACATAGGGCTTAGCTTTGCACGATAGACAGAAACGATGTGTTGGCTTCATTGCCTTCGATCCCCTTTCAAAACTCCATACCCATTGCATTCTCGTTTAGGGCACATACAACCTTGTATTTGGGGAAATACGCCGCTTTTCATGAAATGGCACTTACGTGTTACAATTCAGGTTCAATGATAACCGCCGTTTGCGTTTGCCCCTTTCCGCTGTTGGTTAGAATCCCGCCAGGGACTTTGAATTCTTTCAGGTGAGAAAGCTATCCAGCTAGCTTCGGAACGTCATACAGAACGTCAGTAGATCTACTCAGGTGCTTGTTCGTGCCTGGAATGATACCTGAAGTTTTTTTCACTACTAGTAAAGCTGGAAAGTCGCCATATCATTGTGTTCACCGGTCTTACTGATATGTGAGAGACCTGTGTGTATATGAGATGTCCATTATTGAAAATCAGTAAAGTAAGGATAAAAATGAATAAAAACCGTTGTCAATATGTTTGTTATTTATGTGAAAGTTTATGGCGTAACAATATCAATTTGAAAATATAATATGCCCGTATGGCAAGATCAATTATTCTGGTTTATCATATAACTACAATTGGTTTCTACTCATGTATGACATTCTATGAAAATTGTCACTCGACATCCGTATTTGATTCCGATTGAATTTTAAATCGGCATGTCGCATTCAACAATGTTTTATCAGTTGTTGAACTAAAACAGAAAATAAATAAGAATATCTCAGGGACTGGAAAAGATATCTATAGTACACGTGGAAATATAATTTTTTAGCAAAAAAAGTCGTTGATTGAATGCAGGGAAATAATAAATTGGTGAATAAATTGATCAATTACACAATAATTAAAACAATCGTAGTGGGAACTAACGTGAAAAGGATTAATTTTCTACATTATGAGTGGTTACAAGAATTATTTGTCCGCATATATTCAAGTTATCGCAGCATTGTATACATGCAGATATTGTGATGGTCTTTGTGAATACAAGTGGGGTGATTTGTAAGTATTTTATAATTATCACACTATTTTTTATTTATTTATTTTTTCGCAACATGTTTCTCGAAGGTTTTTATGTCTTTAATCATTTGTAAATATGACGTGTCACACTTAATTGCCTAATCAATATACAAGAGGAATTTGTAAAGTAATAATCAGTGTTATTTATTACCGTTATTCAGTGCATATCGAAGTGTTATACATGTACAGAAAGGTTAGGCTGTCCGCTGCATGTATATGCACGAGAAACACGAATGAATGGCTTTTTTCACTTAAATATATAAAGGTTATGTACACAAAAGAAGGGTCGGACAAACCTTTTATGTACAACTACATATAAAGACAACTACAGTGCCACTTTAATTGATACCTCGTATATGTAAAACAATACCTTTTAACGTTACTTTATCTTTTATTTGGTTATGGTAGCCCATTGTGAACTTAGAAATAAAGACCAAAACATATAATGATATTTAACATTCTATTTTTGTATTTGATATTTCATGTTTTATTTTTATTCACAGAATACTCAAAAATCTTACAGATGATTGGCTGGAAAGGAATTCTACTTGCTTAAATGGCGAAAACGAGTCCATTGATACTGTGTAAGTTAGCCATAAATGTATTCTGTTATAACCTTAAATTGATACATTGTAAGATGGTCTTACATTTTTCTGTTTTAACTTTACATTGATAAAATGTAAGTTGGTCTTAAAATTATGCTGTTATACAGTGTAAAGTAGTCTAACTATTATTCTGTTTTAACCTTACATTTATCAGAGATATTATTAGATACATGTAGTTCATTAATTGCATTTATACCGAGAAAGTTCTTTAGAAAGTTCAGTTTAACCGTACATTGATGAAGTGTAAATTCCTCTTACAAGTATCCATATTTTATTTTTACATTGATTAAAAGTAAACAAGTATCGATTTTTTTATTTGTACATTGATTAAAAGTAAATTTGTCTTAAAACTATTCTATTTTAATCATACACGTAAACCTTACTTATTTTTCTTACCCTGGGATTTCAGCAGTTCTGTTCAAACCTTACATTAAAGCGGTGTCAATTGGTCGTGCAATAATTGTCTCTGTATTAACCTTTCACTAATGAATTTGTGGTATTGACTAATTCTTTAATTAATTTTGAACTTATTCATTAACACTTTAATTGTTATGATACACTTTCATCAACAATTTTATTGATTTGGGAACTCATTTATTAACGATTTAATTCATATGGAACTCATTTCTTAACAATTTAATTTATTCATTAACAATTTAATTGATTTAAAACTTATCATTAACAATTTGATTCAATTTGATGTGGAACTTATTTCTTAACAATTAAATTGATTTGGGACTTATTAATTAACATTTTAATTGATTTCAATATTCAATTCTTAAAATCTTCATCGTTGTGTCAAATATCCAGATAATTTAAGAACAAACAAAAATATAAGGAAATGTACATGCTAAATATAGAAAGTCATTCAATAGAAAAATATTAAACGTGGAACTACAACCTGCATAAAGAAAATCGTATTTAATAGAATCCGCTTCGATATAGGCCAAGAATGACATATTCTGATATGAACCGCGTCACGACAAAACAACATAATGGGTTTGCGACCAGCATGGATCCAGACCAGCCTGCGCTGATCAGGATCCATGCTGTTCGCTATCAGTTTCTCTACTTGTTATAGAGTTGTAAGCGAACAGCATGGATCCTGATCAGACTGCGCGGATGCGCAGGCTGGTCTGGATCCATGCTGGTCGCAAACGCACTATGTTGGTTTTGTCGTGACGCGGCTCATATGCTAAAAAGCATACAAACACAATACTGACTCTTCGTAGAAAGTCAGTGTGACAAATCAGCAAACTATGTATAGAATAATAGTCTATAACGACACATTGCAAATATGGTAAAGTAAATTAACAATTGTGTCAAGCTAGATAAATAAAATAGCTCACAGTCAACGATATTTTAAACCATTAATGCAACACAAGCCCTTATCATCTGTTGCCATATGATAATATGAGCCGCGCCATGACAAAACCAATATAATGCGTTTGCGACCAGCATGGATCCAGACCAGCCGGCGCATCCGCGCAGTCTGATCAGGATCCATGCTGTTCGCTTACAAACCCTATAAAAAGTAGAGAAAACTGATAGCGAACAGCATGGATCCTGATCAGACTGCGCGGATTCGCAGGCTGGTCTTGATCCATGCTGGTCGCAAACGCATTACGTTGGTTTTGTCATGGCGCGGCTCATATTACTTTGATATCTTGTTACCATGCAGTTCAAAGATCCGACTGAATGCACTCGTTATCTCCCGTAACATTCTGTTGTTGCTTATAAAAGTATTCATAAGCAATAAATAACATTGCGTGTTGAATTGAAACAATCCATTAATTACTGGAACAGATGTTTTATTTCATTCGTACAAGTGAGATACTGGTTTTAACCCGTGTGATAAAATCCATATCGAACACAGTATATCTGATTATGGTCTGCACTGTTCGCTATTCTATCAGTACACATTTCAAAATTGTCCCTAAAAATATGAATGGTTTTGTTTAGATTGAATATGGACAAGTCCATCAAGATACATTTTGTATTAAGTAGTGTCCAGCTGAATAAAATAGAAATAAAGGCGTTAGTGACAGAGTTCTTAAGATAACAGACCATCATTAGCCTCTTCAGCTCACTGTGTAAGTTCTGCCGGGGATTTATTTTTCATTCGAGGAAGACACCCGACTAGGTAACGGAATCGCGGCGGTTTCAAGTCATGACTGAAAATTAAAGTTATCACAACATTATGTAATGTTAGTATTTCTTTCAGACCGATTAATACGGACAGTTAATATATTCTGCACTGCTTTAAGGAAATTAAAGGAATGTAGGGAAAACAGCATTTATAACAATACTTTAGTGACAATTATTGATATTACGTTCAATTAAGATAATTAGTGGGGTTCTACTATATGAAATAAAAATTAGAGCGTCAATGACAGAGTTGGAAACGAATAAATTATTTAAACACCCAAATTAAATGGCATTTTTATATAATAGTTCAGATACAATGTGTGATTAGTAATAACATATTTGCCTTCTCTTTTTTTTTTGGTATTTTCTGACCGCAGATCAGGAAATACAATGCTGACATTCTATCTCTGGCACAAAATTTCACGACAAACCTAACAACAAGTAGTTCTCAAAACAGCTTAAAACTAGCTATGTAAAAGAAAGAAATATTTTTATTTTGTTACAAGTATCAAACAAATTACAACGCATTCAAAGTTTAAAAGTAGCGTTGGCTTATAGAATTGTCAATAAATGCACAATCACAAATTGCGCGGATGAATATCATTTTAAACAATGAAAATGCTATTTTTAGCGATGTCGAGTACCGAATATTTCAGAGCGTATTAATTACACACACAAATCTGACTGTCGCTTAGTGTAATATATACATGCGAGAAGATTTTCGCTAAATTATTTACATCAGTGTTAAACAACAGGTTTATCGTGAACAAAATACCTCGAAATTAATAAGGATTACAAACCCGAAATGGAAATTCTAAATTTAGAATTATTTGATTTTATTCAGGCTTTCTTCGTATAACTTCCCCGTGGTGCAGGGGTAACGCGCTCGTTTAGGGTGTGAGAGGTCTGGGGTTCAAATCCCAGTCGAGGCAACTATTTTTTTTTTAAAGTGTCTTTTTTAAGGAAGTAGCCACGATATGCAAGGATAAAGTGTGGCTGTCATAAAAAATGAACATAAATGATTTTTTGATGCAACTCTAGTCATGCAAAATTCCGTATGTATCAAACTCAAACTGTTATAGTAAAAAATCTAAACGCAGTCGCTGCATCTCGGTGCCCTGCAAGATGAATTATAGTATATAAAAATAAACTTATACAGGAAAATACATACAGATATACAGTACGATTTAGATTGCAAAGATCAGAAAATACCACAGAGCTTGCAGCCCTTTGATTTTATAAACTTCAATGCGTCTGCTGCTATATAATAACTGAGCTAACCTTCAAACTAAAAGTAAAATAGATTCAAGATTTATTCAAAACCAAGGCATATAATATGCATAAGGTTATGATATATCAACAATATAATGAACAGTTATTCAAAAGTAATTAACAAAACATATAAACATAAAATTATATAATAAGGAAATCAATTTGACTAACACATAACATTTGACTAGACTTTACTTTTTGGACATGATTTGTCTTATACAGAAGTTATCTAAATTGTGTCTATGTAAATACATTCATAAAGTTGAGAAATTCATGACTTTCGGGAGAATGAGTTATTTAAATTTTGAAATAATAATTTTGCAGAATAATGCAAGTTTTAATAAAATTGAATAGTCAAAGCTATTCATTAAAGATTCTAATTTATAAATATTAGGATGATTTGAGAATTTTGAATCAATAAACTTTTTACGAAGAGAGTTAAAAAAGTGACATTCAAATAAGTAATGAAATTCATCCCCAAGAGATTGTTTTGGACACAAATGACATATTCTTTGATTTCTTTCAATATGTAAATGTCTACCTTTCTCTATAGGTAAAAGGTGGTTCATAGTTCTAAATTTACAAAGTATTCTACAAAGATTGAAAGGTAATATATATCTAAGTATTTCTCAAAACAAAAATCTTTCTTATACACACGATAAATTAAACATTTAGGGGATCCATTTATGATTCCTTTCCAGTTCTGTAAGAACTGGTCTTTCAATCTCTGTTTCACAATAGTTTTAAAACTATTCAAGTTACCAACATATTGATCACAAAAATAGTTTGATAAGCCAAGCTCATCAAGAGTATTTTTAACAAATGAGATCCAAGGAGAAGTCATGACATTATTAACATGTAAAGAAAGAACTGTATTATACAATATTTTACATATTTTATCATTTTTTGAGGTTATCAACTTACTCCAATAACACAATATTCTTGTTTTAACCTGCAGTACTAGGGGACAAAGTCCTGTTTCCCCATATATCATACAATTGGGCGTAGACCTTTTTAAATTAAGTATGAGTTTACAGAAGCGTAACTGTAGTTGCTCAATAATTTGTACATTCTCTATACCCCAAACCTCACAACCATATAATAAAATAGGTACAACCATAGTGTTAAACAAATGCAATTGAATAAAACTTCCTGATACCAAAATGGCGCTCTCCATTGAACAAAATAGCGCGCTCCATAATAATATACCTTCTGAATGCTTTGGATGTCTTGGTGCAGTTTAATATCGTCACGTGTCAGTGAGTTTCAACAAACATACTATTAGTTCTTCCACGAGAAGGAAGAATTTCAAATATCTTATTATGAACATTTATTGATTGGTTTTGTAAATCTCCCTTATTAATATTCAGTCTCATCCTTTTCAATTTGTGTTTCAGATTTGTCATATGTATTTAAGAAATTAGATTCTAAAATATAATTACATTTGGCCTTACACCAGGATATAGCCTGAGTGTTTGTTGACTGTGTGTGCGTGTTTTTTTCTCCAATAATTGATTATAAAAACATTTCTAAGAAATGTTTTATTTCTATTAAAAGTA